GATAGTTGGAGGAGGTTCGCTGCAAGAGGTCCAACCTGGGGTGGACTCTACTCGCCATACGCCAACTTAATTCCTTGTCACGGACGAGTATATTATGTAGTCGTCATCTTAAAAAAGCAGCAAGCACGTGTCTTCCGATGTGCGACTCATCAGCGAGCGTACAGACTCCAAAGTGCTTCGCGGCACGTTGGCTGACACGTCCGGGTGGAGTCGAAACATTGGCTCTTCGACAATCGTCAGGATCCGGAGCAGCGCGGCCTTGCACTCGATATCCTTGCGCTTCTCGGTGTGTTGGGGTGTGAGGCTTAGCGTCGTGAGATGCCTTGTGCACGCGACGATTTCGGGCACAAAATGAAAGAAGTCCTCGTACTTGGCCGAGTGGCCGTCCATATGCACGTGCAGGAGAGTCCCACAGCAGCCAAGATCCGACCTATGTCTTCGCGGTACAGAGTATTGTCGCGCATGTCCAGCTCGACGAGTCGCGGCAGCTGCGGCAGCGCACCGACCAATTCCGTGTACTGTGTGTACGAGGTTGCTGCCTTGCGCAGCGAGATTTTCTCAATGTTCACGAGCATCACGCGCACGGTGGCAAACGATGCGTCATTGTATGAGCCAAGTGCGCGCAACGACGTCAAGCGCGCCAGCACGGGGTCCAACCACGAGCACGACCCGAGTTGGCCGAGGTACGTGAGGCTGCGCCCCAAGTGCACGAGGCTCGGCGCGCCCTCGAGTGCTCGCGCAAGATGAGCGAGCGTTGCGGGCGCTAGCGTCTTTTCATCGCCGGGCGCTACCCACTCGAAGGATTCCAAGGACGCTGGAAGCCGTCGCCCGTGCAAGACGGCGGCATCAAAGTGCTTGACGCTAAAGAGGCGGAGAGTGCAGAGCGTGGACGCCGCGATAGCGTCGCAGATCGCGTCACCAACTTGTGGCTGGCCGCGGAGGTTGATGGCGACACCGCTCAGCGTAAGCGATGTGCACGGTGCGTGCGTGAGCCAATGGAGGAGCTGTGTCGAGAGGCTGCGCGGTGGTTTGTAGTCGTTCGCTTCGCTCGAGAGGTGCAGTGTCGTAATTCCGGGGTGCTCGAGCATTGTGAGCACCGTGTCGCAAGCACCGGCGGACAGCGAGGCATACGTGGAGCGACCATGGAAGTGGATACAAACCTGCGTTAGCGCAAGGCACGCCAATGCCGTGTCACTGACGAGAGTGCAGTCCACTGCACTTGCGTTGGCGACATCAAAGACGACGCGAAGGCGCGAAATACACTGCGCGACGTGTGGAGGTAGGGGCTTCAGAGGGGCCTGGCGATGGCTGTTGGTGCGATACTCAAGCGCCAGCGTTGCGCCCAAAGGGCCCCGTTGAGCAAGGTGGGCAAGGGCTCTCTCCGGCACAAGCGACCAATCGATCGTAATGACAGGCCATTGCCACGCAAGTCCGTCAATAGGCTCCTCGAGCAGCGCGGCGAGGGATTGCATCGGCCCAGGTCGTGACGTTGCTTCGCGGGGCAGCGCCTGAACGAACGCTTGGAGCGTCGCAAGGTCCGAGATGCATCAAGTGATTGCGTGGAGAGCGTCGGGTGTCGCTGACCAGTGCACACTTGGCGCCCGTCGCCGCCCACGCGCCGGTCCTTTGACCATCGCTGATTTACGGGCCATGATTACGGATGTGCGTGCCATGAGCTCCTGCCACGGGCCATGAAGAAAATGCGTGATGCGATTGGTCCAATAAATGGTAAATCGGTACATTGGATTGGATGTTGTAATGCTTTTTAACAAATAGGAATGCAACGCATTTAAACCAATACGAAACGATTGTGAAGCACAATGTTGACAGAATGTGGAGTGAATTCCACGTTATCGACGGGCGATATTGTCAAAAGGCACTGCATCAAGCGGCGTGCGGCAGTCAGTTCTTAGACCTTGCACGAGAGGTTGGTGCCCGGGTCGACGCCGAGCTCGGCGCAATACGCCTTGAACAAGGCCACGCGGTGCGGGTCGCCATTCGGGTTGGGCGGGTTCGGGCCACACTCCCACGTCGGGTTGATGATGCGCGTCGTCTTGGCAAACTGGCCCCACTGGCCCGCCACGTCATGAATGCGGTTTGCGCTCCAGAACCAGAACGCGCTCAACCAGACCAGATCTTGGTCCGTGGCCACACTGGCATAGTTGGTCACGAGGTCCCGCCCGATCGCGCCGCCAAACGCTTCGTAGTTGTAGCGCCACGTGAGCTGAAGCGCGCCGCGGCCTAAGAAAACAATGTGAGCTTCCATCGCTGCCAACTCAAAGGCATACCGTAGTAAGGCGCGTACTCGCCGCTCTTGTCATACTCTTCCGAGGCTCGGAGCTCGTCAGACTCGTGTGTGACATGCGCAAGAAAGGCCGCAATCTCGCGCTTGTTGGTATCGTCGTCGTTGGAGTTAGCAAATGGAAACGTGGTCGCGCTCCGAACGAGACCCACGTACGTGTACACCGGGTTGCGCAACGGGAACTTTTGGTTGAACGTGGCTTC